AAGACGATTGCGAGCGCCTCCTGAACGAAAGCGCGATGCAATACAGGGGATTGCAGGAGATCCTGTCTGATGCATTGGCATTGCTCCCCACAGAGACAGCATGCCTCCCGATCGTTCGGCGGATTGGAATTGACATCGACACAGCGAAGGCGCTTTTGGTGAGGATGAGATTGATTGAGCATTGCATCGGTGGAGTGCTGCTCAACAATGCCAGCCTCAAGACATTGGAGCCACAAGCTGGATTGAATCCATTGAGGCTTGTACGCGAACTGCCTCAAAACGGAGGATTGGCCCAGTCCAGCGGGCATTGGTCCTTCCGTGGGATTGGCATGGCTCATTGTCGCTTACAGTGCGCAGGCTGGAATGCGCATTGGTGCAGTCCAACATGGGTTGCCATTGGCATTGGTCACTGCTCAGGAAGGAATGGTCCCATTGACCATTCGCACGCTGCAAGTTCGCAATTGGGTCATTGTGTCCAATCACTGGCAGATTGGAAGTGAGATGATCCTGGATGGCTCATTGATGGCGATGCCCTTCTTCCTTGCATTGCCAGAGTCATTGATGCGAAGCGTGGTGGCAGACGGCGTCATTGCATTGGATGGTTTTCCGTGTGGTCAGGCAAATGCCTTTACCACCATTGACCAGGCATTGGTGAAGCTCCATCAGTGGTGCGATCAGGTCCCCTCCATTGAGGCAGGATTGCACGAGAATGTCTGGATCATTGTGTACCACCCATTGATGTCCCGATTCCCCACGGTCTTGAAGAACCCCGCCACGGGAAAGGGCGGATTGTTGCATTGGCACAACCAGTCTTACTGTGGCCATTGCTTGATCTTGGAAGCCATTGAAGATGGCAACTACCGCCTGAACCCGATTGAGCTGTTGACTGCGATGGTGGTTGACACTCGATTGTCACTGAAGGCCCTTTTGGACGGATTGAATTGGGACTTGAGTGGCGCAACGGAGCAGTTTTCGTTCCACCGCCACATTGCCGTCCCGACACGCCTGAGCAAGCTGATTGGTGCAGGACGCACCGCAGGCATTGGCTCGTCGGCCATTGCTGGAAGCGCAGTGGCAAGGGCCATTGGCGAAGGCCAGATTGGCAGCTCCGAGCTCACGATCGCGAGCGGAGGCAGCCGATTGAGGATTGCCCTCAACGTCCACCAGATGGACTGATGCCTCATTGGCATCCAACAATTTTGACTGGCCTGGAAAGATGAGATTGCATTTGATTGGTTATTGCTTCGACGATTGGTTTTACAGTTGATGCTTTCCATTGGTGATGATGTGGTTTTTCATTTGCTGCAGCTCATTGGACCCCGATTGGAAACTTTGCTGACCGTTTCTCAGGACCACTCCGTGTGGTGTATTGATTCGGATGCATTGGAGCATTCGGTATGCCAACAGAACATTGCAGGTTTCGTTGCAAGTTCTCTTTTGAAGCGATTGCGATTCGCTTGCAAAGCAAAAGGATTGAGCCGAGCCTCTGAGTGCATTGTTCACTGCTGAGCTGATTGGTAGTCGTTTGCAGTTGAGATTTTTTCGACATACTCCGTTGATTGGTTGATTGAATCTTTGTTTTACGAAATCATTTGAATTGTGACTGGAGAACAGCACAGACAAACATTGTCTCTGTTGAGGGACCGTGTTAGAATATGAGGTCACAATTAGCATGCTTCCAGAGAAGCATTGGCACAGCAACATGCTCAACATGAGCATTGACTCGGTGCTTTGGCTCAAGGCGGCACAAACAAGATTGCTGAGTGAGTGATTGCATCAAGTGACTTTGCTGTGCATCTTGTGTATTCTGGATTGTGTGATCAAACCAGTCTGTGAACATTGATCTTGTAAAATTTCATTAAGGGGGGGCTTAAGGGGGGCTTAAGGGGGGGCTTAAGGGCTTTGACCCTTTGCCCCCCCCCCCCCCCCCGAAGGGACCCCCTTTGCAGGGACCCCTTTGAAGGGGGGCTTAAGGGGGGCTTAAAGGGGGGCTTAAAGGGCGGCTTAAGCCCCCCTTTGCCCCAAAGGGGGGGGGCCCATTCTCCCAGTCGGAGCGGTGGAGTTGGTCACCAGAGGAAGCTTTGCCGGAGCAATTCTTGGAGGTTATGTTGGATGACTTCATATGAAACAGACTATACAGTGCAACAAGCGGCACAGATGGGATTCTTGGGCACGAACATTGGATTCGTGTTTGCTTTCTTATTGGCTTTTCCGGGCTATCTCAAATAGGCGTGCTTGCTTTGCATTTCTGACAGAGGCAATGTGTCAAGCAGTCAGTCGTTTCGGCGAGCCCGACGCCAGTTTCACTACTTCGATGTGGAAAACACATGACTCGTTGTCAGAGCCGTCCACGTTGTACATAGCGGACATTAGCCAGCTGCCGGACTGATTGTAACAGCAGAAACCCAAACCCTAAACCGACACCCCACTCCACTTTCGCGTGAGGAGTCCGTACCTTATGCATTCTTCTACCCGTAGCACCTCGTGGTGCGTGGGTCTTCAGGCTTTCTCGTTTTCGCCTAAACACCTTCAAATAAAAAAATCGAACCTAGTATCAAGGCTGCTTATGCCAAAAGCCATACACATACCAGGTAATCAGCGGGTGATAGTTATGTTCAAGATGAACATATGTGTACAATCGTAAGAGTCATCTGCAGTGTTTTGAGTTTTCAGGGTCCGCAAGTTCAAAAAGCTGGCCTGTGAGGCAAAAGTTCCCGAACTTTTTTTTTGAATGTTCAGGGTGGCCTTGAACTTTTAGTGTTGGCTGGAACCCTCGTGGCGTCAACCCGGCGGCTCGAATTGAGCCCCTGAGTCGCTCAAACAACCTGGGCGAGGGCCAACGAGCCAGAACGAGCTGCTTCGACTATCCTCCATAAGAAGCGGCCCCTGGTACACCCAAGGGGCCTAAATTTGAAGTGCTTACGACCAGTTAATGGCCCTAATGGCCCATGTCCATCGCAGAGGGACGGACCGCAACCACACCAAAGCGAAAACTGACATAATTGAAGCAAACACGCCCGAAACATGTTGAAACATCTTGAAACGCCTAGATCCCCAGCACTGACTGCCGCTATGGATCACGCTCTGAAGAGCGTGCTGCGAGAAGCGCGCAGGGCTGGCGCGGGCATCCACCAGCGAGGCCAGCCAATCCGACCGCCCCGTCTCATGCGACTTGAGGAATAGACGGAACGTTCTTGAAGGGCCTCAGGGGTGCGCTCTGCTTCGTGCCAATGTGGGGACTGAGATTCCAGTGCGGCGTCAAAGAGAACATTAGGAGCAAGGAGAGTTGTTATCCCTTTCCGAGAAGTGTCCCATTTGATCTCAATTCTCTGCCCATCCTTTGGCCGCCTGGTGTGGTCTCGCTCCACAGGTCAGTGCGCAATTCAGCATCGCAAGAGGCGGTGGGCTTTGCGGGTTTTTGTCTGGGAAGAAGGATTATTTGCTAGCAGTGGCCTCCTTTCTTTCCATGCTGCCTTTGCCTCTTAAATGATGGTGCAGAAAGTCTAGTTTTGGCGAACGAAACACAGGCCGACGTAGTGCAGGCGGGCAGAGCTTGTGGGTCGTCCGTCGCTTGCAAGTGTGATTGGTGCAGATACTGAGTACAGCGTTGTTCAAGATGTCTGGTGGACGATATGGCAGCCCAGGTAAAGTGAGTCCATTGCGCATGCAAAGCTGAAGATCTGCACTCGTGGAGCCATGACCAGTCACAAGCCTTCTCCTCACCCTAAACCCTCACTCACACCTTAAGCCCGAATTTTCTGGTTGTTACTGGGGAATGAGGGAAGTAGGTACCCTGTCTAACCGTTTAGACGGTATGCAAACAAATAAACAGATGTATATATATATATATGGAAATGTAACGTGCCCAGTTCCTTCATTCCCGATTTTTAAGGGCCAGCAGGATAAAGCAGGAACTGCCAAAGCCTTGTGCCGCTGTCAGGAGGCGGAGACCACGGCAGAGCGCATCATGACGCTGTCTCAAGCTCAGAAATTCTACTTGGACATGGGCACTTACAACCACAATTACCAGGTGTACTAATAACCTATTTAGAGCTTAGGGGGCTTAGACGTACAGTTATACATGACATGGTTAAAAGTACCTCATGAACCTCCAGCTAGCCGGACACAGTTCAGGCCCATGGCCAGAGTTTTTGGGTAGGTCACCGTAGGAACGGACGCTGCAAAAGAATCGGAAAGAGGTCCGACGAGCAGGTGAGTCCAGAGCGAGGGGAGGAGCGCATCCAACTAGCAACCAGCCTTTCCAGATTCCAGAGAGAAAGGAGCGTATCCAAATAATAACCGGCCCCCTCTGGAGTGAGGGAAGGAAGGTTGCTAGCCGGTTTTCCTTATGCGGAAAGTATGCGATTGGCAGCCCGCCCTCTTTTACAGAAAAGAAGGAGTGTGTCCAACCAGTAACCAGCTTTTCCATATTGTACAGGGGAAGGACTTTCCTTCCCTCCAAAGAAGGAACGTATCCAACCAGCAGCCTTCCAGTGGGGAAGGAGCGTAGCCAACTAGCAACATGCCTTCCTTTATTCCAGAGGGGAAGGAGCGCATCCAAACAGCAGCCTGTCTTTCCATACTCCAATGAGGAAGGATCGTTGTAGAGGGTGTAGGGTTCCGGGTCATTAGGTCATGTAATTTACGAGGTGACACCCACAGTTCGCCAGTAGAGCTCATCTCCATGGGCTCCTCGCAAGGACAGGGATATGGTACTTCGCGCTGGGGCCTTACGTTTGTATGTAGCTGCAAGCTTTCCGACATGCTCTCCCCCCCCCACAAGACAAAGTGTTTGCCAGCGAGGCCCTGATGCTTTGAACAACCCCGGCAGCTACTAGAGATGATGCTGGCACCTGCAGACTTTCTGCCATTGCTCCGGAGGCAGCCATGTCACGTCATGGCGAGTTCTTCAGCTGGTTGCGTCGTTGCTTGTGCACCCGGCACCTGTCAACTTGGTGTGGCTATCAGCCTTGGCTCAAGCTTGACTTCGGCCTTTAATCATGGTGCGAGTTGCTGGGCCGTTGAGCCTGGTAGCGATCTTGCTTCATGTCAGAGCCTCCATTGGGTCTGAAAGTGCCTGTGATGACGCCACAGGGTGCATGGCTTCCCGTGCCCACTCACTCCTGGCGGTGAAGGCAGAATTACATTCAGTTCCAATGGACATTACCGAAGGTGCTGGTAATGGCACCAATGGCACCAAGAGTACGAACAGCAGCGGCTTGGAGGACCTTCTCCTGAAGAATGCGCAGCATGGCTTCCAAGAGGCCGCAGGGTTCCCCGATTTGGAGAACAACACCAACAACGAATCGCAGGGCCGGCATGGCTTTGGCGGGTTGGGTGCAAATCTGGAGTTCATGATGATAAAACTGGCCCAGTTGGAGACTCTTGTGGAGCTGCAGCAAGTCGAGATCCACAAGCTGAACGAGTGGAAGAGCAGCCATATGGCTGGTGAGCACAACACCCCTCAGCCAGGCCCTGCCTTGAACCAGAAGGACACGCATGAAGCGGAGGTCGTTCTGAAGAGGGTCCTGCAGAAGCACAACCACCAGCGATTGCATCGGGAGTTCGTGGTACCATCCTCACCAGCCACCCCAAAGCGAGAGATCAAGACGAAGACCGAAGCCATGCTCCAGAGAGCGAAGAGTACGAGAGCGAAGAAGAGTACCTCCAACTCGCGCTCCTTGGATCACTCTGTGAGCTCGAAGATTCTTGATGAGATCGAGGATGTTGTCACGGATGGCACCGGTATGATTGGCGATGAGTTGGGAGATGCCTATGAGGCTGCAGAGGATCAGATTGCCTTTGTGGCCAACACAGCCATTGACTCAGTCGAGATGGCCGTTGACATTCTCAGCCGTGGATTCGATGATTGGACATCTGGCTGTGAAACCAGGTGGCCTGATTTCGGCGTGGACTCTGATGGCCTCAACCTAGACTGGGGCCGGCAGAGATGCTGGGTGCGCCTGATGGGTCAGACTTGCGACCTCTTCGACTTCAACTACGGCACCATTAACGTCGCTTGGCCTGGGGAGCTTCTTTCGATTGCGCAGGCGGCCTATGCCCAAATGAAGCCTGTCTTGGATATTGGCCTCGAACTAATGGGTTGTCCCACCTTGGACGAGCCCATAGAGGTCGTCAAGTGTCTTGGCTTCAAGATCATCGGGCTGATCCCCCCCTTCAATTTCCTCGCACGCACGAGCGAGATGATGACCGAGTTCATCGAAGTCTTCGGTGTGGTGGCGGCGACAGTGGTGAAGCAGGTCTTGGACGATGGCCAATCATTGGTTCAGCAGGCCGCTGTGTCCAAGTTCCCCCAGGCCGGTGCACCACCAGTGATCCACCACGCAGGCAAGAACCTGATGATCAAGACACATGCCCAGCACCCAAGAGGAAAGCAACCAAGGTCAAAGCTTGAACGTGCGGACAGGGCGCAGAGCTTGATGCAGAGGGGCGATGGTGAAGGTGAGTCTGCAGGAAAAGGCGCCATCAGCTTCGAGGTCCGTGGCCCAGTCGCATGTGATCTCGCTGGATCCAGGACCAGAGTAGGCCGAGTCATGTCGCAGCTGTCTTCACTCCTGCGCCATGTTTGAGGTCCATGATCAGGATGGCAATTATGCGACGAAGCTCATCACGCAGTCCCTCAGCCTGTTTTGAACCTCGCGCTGCTAGCATGTTAGAAGTTTGCACACGCGGGGAAGTGCCAGTCTCAACAAATGCTGCGTCCTAGAGGTTCAACGGCAAGGAGACAGACACCAGCTCCTGCCTGGCCTTCGCCCCCAAGAACAAGCACGGCAGCGATAATCAGGCAACAAGAGAAGATTGGCAGGTGGACAATGAGGACTGGGATGAAACATCGCTTCTCTTCGTTGTTCTTAGTTGGGAATGAGGGAAGGTACCATCCCGACCATCCCGAGGGGTCCCTTTGCATAAGGTAACCCTGGGGATGGTCGGCATGGTTCATTCCCTCATTCCCAACTAACAACTAAGCTCTTTCAGGGTGCTGCCAGTTCTAAGCCAGATTCTAAGCTCAAAGGACGACTTCATCCAGCTTGAGCCCTGGGCGGTACCCTGCGACAATTCCTGGATGAAGGACATTTAGAAGATTGTGCCAGACGTGTTGGGCCGATTAAGGCTGATTCTGGGAGTTTATGGTTGTGTCGGTTTCAGGACCCCAGGCTTCTAGCTCGCAGCATTGCAAATCCCCCGGAGGACCACTGGAACAAGTGGCAAGGCTATTCCTTCTACACTTGGGAGATGGCGATTGAGAAGTGCGTGACCGTTTCCTACTCCCTGTCCGTGCAACCGGTGATGGCCTTCGTGGGGGGTCTTGAGTTTGACCTGATGCCTGCACCACTGGCGTCCTTGGATACCACCGTCTGCTGGCCGGACAAGCAGCCTGGAGGGGTGGACCTAAGTGTTCTGAGGAGCGAGATCAGAACTGCTGGCTTCCTTCTTTTCAGCCGCACCTTGCGGTTGACGAAGCGTTTCGGGGACGGCACCGACTTCGAGAGTGGCAACACGTTTGGCGCCCACGAAACATGGCGCAACCCCATCGGCATTGCCAGGGGCGAGCACGGTGTCGAGGATGATCGGACCCTCGAGCCCATGTCTCGCACAAATCTCCTCCAAGCCAATGAAAGCAAAGGGGCACAAAGATCACGGACATCACGGACAACTCTGGGGTGGCAGGAGGAGACGGAGGACCTGTTCCTGGCTTCCGTTGAGTATGGGCCGCATATGGCGATCAACCAGAGCTCGGAGTTTCGTGGGAAGGCCGCCGCCCAGAAATTGGAGCAAACGGGGATGGGCTCCATGAGGAACATGAGCAACCTGCAAACTGGCGAGAAGCTTGAGAATTCCCCGACCGAGACAGAGGCCTTCGAGCTTTTCAGCTTCAAGAACCCAGGCATGATCAACTTCGTCGTCCGAGGCCTCCTTGAACAGAACAACCTGGAGCTTGGCATGAAAATCGATTTCGGGCCGCACTTCAGCTCCCCAGAGAAACGGACCAGGCTGATCAACATTGTGGACCAGTTTAACATCGTCTTGACCGCCCTGCCATTTGTGTCCTTTGAGAGCAAGCAGAGGGCCCTCTCTTACCTGAACGGCTTCCTGGACAACGACCTCGCGGGGGTGGTACCACCGCACGTTCTCCTCCAACCCGGATCCATGATCGCGCTGCACTGCACCGTGCACAATCGATTCTTGCGCATGCGCAGCGACGGAAACATGGACGGAGGTGGTAACCGAGATTTCGCCGCCGGCATAGAGGCGAATTGGGAGTGGGAGCGTTTCACAGTGGTGGACGCCGGCAACGGCCAGATTGCCTTGCACAGCCCTCGGTGGAATAGATTTGTGATGATGGGTGGCAACCAGGTGGTGGAGGCCAGCGCTCACAAGGCCTCCATTGAGCTTCCGGAGGAATGGACCTCAGAGCGTTTCACGGTTGTGAACGCAGGGGATGGACAGATCGCCTTGCACAATTCACAGCGCAATCGATTCCTGCGCATGTCCGACGGTGGGCATGTGGATGCCAGCAGCAGTAAGGATGCTGACGCCCTACCTGACTCATGGACCCACGAACGATTTCGTGTTTTGCCTGTGAAGTCGTACCTGACCGTGGGCAGTGTGGTGGCTTTGCACAGTGTAAGGTGGAACCGCTTCCTTCGCATGACTGATTCACATGAGATTGACAGGGGTGATGAGAGGGCGTATGACGCTTTGCCCGACAACTATCATTGGGAGCGCTTTACCGTGGTTGACGCAGGGAACGGGCAAATCGGCCTTTTCAGCGGGCTTCATCAGCGATATGTCAAGATGGAAGACCAGCAGCTGATGACAGCTAGTGGCTTGGGGGGCTATGAGAAATTTGCCGTTGTGCCTGCAGGAAACGGGGAGATCGCCTTGCACAGCACCCGCTGGAATCGCTTTGTGCGTATGACGGGTGATGGAGCAGATGGCAGTTCAACCCTGGCTGCTGATGCCTTGCCAGGCGACTGGAATTGGGAACGCTTTCGTGTCTTGGAGGTGGTGCCCAATCCAAACGCGTGGTCCTTCCAGACCAGGTAGAAAGCTTAGAGGCAGGGATGTCAAGCTCCCATGCATCCCCGGTGTGCCATGCATCCAACAAATATGCTCCCGGCGCTCGACTGGTGCTCCTGATTGAAGAAAAGACAAAGCCCTGCGCGAGTCTTTGCAAGCCCTGCTGCCACGACTTTCAACGTCTCTGGCATTTTCTTGAGAACAGGCATGTGTGAGCCCTGAGGGTTGAGCCATGCTCCCGAAGACGTCTTTAGCAGATGAGAACATGCAAGGCTGGCTGACACCAGCTGCTACTTCGTCCTTGTTAGACAAGTGGGAATCCCTTTAAGGAATGGTTAGGGATGGTAGGGATAGTAGGGATGGTTCAGTCCCTCATTCCCCACTACAAACAACCAAGTTTTGGGTGGGAGGCGCTCCGCCAAGACCGAGGAGTCGTTTGGCAAGTGCTTTGGCTGCCTCATGCGGTTTTTGACCTCATGACTTCTGGTATGTCTGTGCTTCGTTTCCTGTTGGATGCCTCTAGCGGCTTCGGGGCGAATCCACCACCCCCCCTCCCAGAACCGCAAGTCAGTTTTCGGGCATCAAGGCCTGTAGCATGGGTGGGCTCGGTCTCGCTTCACACTTCTTGGAATACATCATAATATATTGCAAGACTTGCCCATGAACGCTCATGTCTCTGTAACTTGTAAGCAGCTTCTCCATCAGCTTAGTAACACGTTGGAGAACATGGTCATGGACCTCATAGAATTGGGTGATTTGTTGACTTGGTGGTCGTGTATGGCTGCAATGGAATTCCGACTGGCAGACTCCATCCATGCAAGCAGGATAGGATGCCCTGGAACCCTTAGGGTTTAGGGTTTAGGGTTTAGGGTTAAGAAGCCCATGGTACCAACGGCGTCTTCCTGAACCCCAAGGCAGTGAGCCGTGCACCACGCGCCCTGTCGATGGCGCTTGGCACAGGGCTCAGAAGACAATGAAGATCCCCGTGGTGTTATTGTTTTTTCATGAACCATCCCAACTTTCCTTAAAGGGTATGGGGATCAGGGTTTACAGAATAGGTTCTAGGGTTTAGAGGCGTGAACCGTCCTACCATTGCTAGGTTTCCTCAGGCATGGGAGTGGACACCATTGGACACCTGCAAACATCCGGAGGGTTCCTAGGGTTTGTTACGGTTTCCTAGGGCTTCCTAGCGTTCCTTAAAAGGTATTCCTGGGTCTAGTTTTTGGAGACGGCGCCTCTAAGAGGCCGTGCGAGTAACCACAATTTCTGGGCTCGGGGTGGGGTTGGGGGGGGGGGTGGGGGGGGGGTAATCACGTGACTTGGGACTTCACACCTGCAACTCCAAAGCCTGAACCCCTAATCCCCAAAGGCCTAAACCCTTGCTGTTTAATTCGGGGTTTATAAGCAAAACGCGCCCGCGCCTAGGCGAGAGCGCAATTTCAAGCAAAAAATGTGTCCGAAACTTCAAAACGACACCCCCGAGAAAAAAACACAACAAACAAACGATCCTTAAACCCAAAAGAATAGTCCAAGCAGTGCAAACCCAAATCCTGAAACCTGAACCCTAAACTTTGAACCTTGAACCCTGAAGAAGAATCAACTTGAGGCCACTTTCAGGATCCAGTGCACAAGTCTGTTGGGTTACAACCAAAGCACAATTCCAGAAAATCATGCCTGCGCTGTGGCGAGAGCACTATTTCGAACCTGAACTGCCGGAGCCATAACGCAGAAAAAACTTCCCGAACCGAAAATCGCCATTTGAAAGTTCAACATGGGGAATGAGCAAAACGTGCCCGCGCCTAGGCGAGAGCGCAAATTCGAGCAAAAAACGCGTCCAAAACTTCAAAAAAAAGACCCCCTGGAAAAAAACAACAAAAAAAACGATCAGGCTTCGAGCGAAAATGCATTTTTCCGAAAAAATGACCTAACCCTTCGGTGTTTTCGAGCCCTGCAAATGCTGCGGTGATCACGAAAATGTGTGTTTTACTTGGGTTTTCAGCCCTCGACGCGAAAAATGTAAACACAGAATGTGCTCAGTCACACGGCCTCTTACGGGCGCCGCCACCTAGTTTTTGGTGTTCCTGGGCTCGGCGGGTTTAGAGTTTAGGGTTGAGGGTGTTACGGTCTAGGGTTACCCTTCGCCAAGAGATGGATGCAGGGATCCCTCACCCCCACAAAGCCCCACATCCTAAACCCACGCAAAAACGAACATCACGGAAACGACACCTAGGAAACCTTTAACTTTACCATATGACCATCAACCCTGAAACCTATTCTCAACATCTCGGAACCTCCCCTTCAATCCTGAACGCTCTGAACCCTGAACCCAAAACCCGAAGCCCAGAAGCACCCAAAAACTAGACATAAGAACACCCAAACGTGAGGAAGCTTACAACTTAGGAACCCCAAATCCTGAACCCTTAACCCTTAACCCAGACCGTCCTAAGAAGCAGAATTCCTAACCATCCGTAGGAATTCCCCAACATTAACACCCCCAAATCTTCTACAACCTTGCAAAATCCTAAACATATACCGTAGCTCTAAGAAGTACCCTCCCTTACCGCAGAAATTTCCTAAGACCTAAACGGAACCCTGAACTAAAACCCTAGACTTCAACCCTAAACCCTATACAGCCCGGCTCCCTAGACCCTAAACCCTGTACAGCCTCCCTCCCTATCCCCTAAGCCCTATAACCAAAACCCTATACTGTAGACCCTAGACCCTACACCCTAAACCTTAGAAGACCCTAAACCCTACACCCTAAACCCTACACCCCAGACCCCCTGAACCCGAGAGACCTTGAACCCTAGGGACTCTGGAGCCCAGACCCTAAATGCTCCCTAAACCCTAAACCCTACCTAAACCACAGAAGCACAGGCGGTTTGGTGGATGATCCAGACCTGGAAGAGTTGGCACGCGTGAGGGCTCCAGCATTGAGGGGTGGGCGTGGGGCCGTTTTTTTCTTTTAATTTGGGGGGCTTTTAGTCGGGATTGAAGTAAGCATCCCTTTGATGGTATCGGGTTGAAGTATCGGGTATGGGGTTCAAGGTTAAGGGTAGAAGCTTTAGAGTTTAGGGTAGAATTCCGAGGCATGGTTCATTCCTTCATCCCCTACTAAGCCCAAAGTTATTTTACTGCGCAGGTTTTGGGGGGGCTAACGTTTGGGGTTTTGGGGTTTGAAGATGTCTTAGTTTAATAGGGTGTTGGAAAGTTTGAGGGCCCTTCATCTCTGTTGGAGTGAGCCTCTGCCGCTGGAGCGCTGAGGCTTCAACTTCAACAGCAAGCTGACCAAGCACGAGTGTCTCCTCAAGGCGCTGGTTGTGAGTTCCTGGTGAATGGGCTGGGCTTCAGTTTCTGAGGAGTGTGGGGTTGATGGCCATGAGTGCACGGACGGCAAACCTTGCCACATGTTGTGGCTCAAAAGCTCTTGGGCTGTAGAATGGGTTGCGGTTGTTGGTGCTGTGGGGGTCTCGGCACCAGAAAAAGGGCACTAACGTGCTCAAGAAGGGAGGTACACAATTGTTGTTGACTGACCAAGAAGATCAGGTGAAAAGTCGGAATGCTGGAAGCCAGAAACAAGAAGAGCCGCATGCAAGAACAAAGATCTGAAGGCAAGTAAGCGCCATGAACCGCGTGCAGTTTTCAGTGGGTGCCAGTACTTCCTTTGCTGCCCCTCTCCAAACGATGGCCCCCCTTTCTAGGCGCCCTGAGCATGCAGATCTTTTCTCCGCGGATCTCCCGGGCCCGAGGCCGGAGATCCGTGGACCAAAGGTTGCACGGATGCCTCCCAAGATCTGAAGGGGAAAGGCACGTAGGTGTCATCGTCTTTGTCATCAACGATCAACGAGGGTTTGTGGTGTTGGGGGATTCAGGGGCTTAAGATTTAGGTGTTAAAGGTTTAGGTTAGTTTCTAGTCACTAGCTAAATTTGCAGCCCTGTGCCCGTAGTCTCCAAGCAACTATTGCGCTGCGAAGGGGAAGCTGGGCCATCTCTCGGCTGGCACTTTCTTGGAGATCCACGCCGCTTTCTAGGCAGAAGGGTCTCGCGTTTTTGGAGACTGTTTACCGGGTTCGAGGTTGCATGCTTGGGGCTATGTGGTGAAAGCTATTTTGGATCCTCGACCTTTGTGGTTCCAACGGCCCGTTCAAGGGAGTCCAAGGGTTCGATCATCTGGCTGCCGGTGCCCTGCCAAAAGCTTGAACTTCTCGCACCTGCACGAAAGCGGCTGCTGGATGCTCAACTTCGTGCTTCTGGGTTGCTGTAGTCCGTAGTTCCCTGTGCTGGTCCAACATGAGCCGAAACCCGAAACCCTAAACCCTAAACCCCAATCCCTAAACCCCAAACCCTAAACCCTGAACCCTAAACCCTAAACCCCGAAACCCTCTGCTGGTTGTTGGGCCGATTTGGGGCCTCCAGGCCTGTGTGATCTTAGCGATGTCTCGAAGTCAGGTAGGTAAGCGCTACCTGCCGGTGGCTTTCCTGGTGTCGGGGCCTCGTGCCGGCTCGTGTTCTTCAAGTTTTTTGTGGGGAGGCTTTGAGTGTTAGCCTTCCAGAACCCTGTGCCTGGCTCTGGGGCTTCTTTCTTGGAGCTCCTTTCGGGGGTACGAAGGCCACGGCTCTGCGGAAGCTGGCTTGCAAACAATCTCTGAACAGCAACCTGCGCCGCTTTGCTTCGGCCACTATCCTCGACCATGTGAATGACGGTTGGTTTCTATGGACACTGCCGGGTTTTGTCCACGCGTGGTACTGCTTCCTTCAATATTTGGTGTCATTATGCCTTGATGGCATGTGTACGGCCCTGCTAGAAGATACCCAACGCACACTCTTCCGATAGCTGGTCCGCGCATTCAGGGGCTTTGAGATCAACTCCTCCTACCCCAAGCTTCCCTGGGGCACAAACATATCGTGAACCCTCCATCTCAAAGCAGTGCTTCTCACTCAGGCCATCTCAGCTGCGCGATGCCTGGGGGCTCAGGGAGCTCCAGCAGTTGGGAGGGCGGTTGAGGGTTGCAAGTCCTCAACTCCAGCTCGAAGCCTACACGATGGCACTGGGAAATTCCTTGCCGTTAGAGAGTGAGGCCCTCGTCCCTTGTCATGCTCTCGACTTTAGTTCCTTGTGCTCTCTGTAAACTCGCACCCTGAGCGCTGGCACCCTCCTGGTATCTTGCGGCAAAGCAAAGCTCTGTTCCAGATCGGCTGCTCAACCCTGCAAATGTTCCCGGCGGTAATAGCTCGGGGTCTTATCGTGGTGATCCATGGAGTTACAACAGCTGTTTCCGAACCTCCAAGTTTGAAGAAGGGTTATTCGAAATATTGCCCCACGTACGTTCCCGGGGCCTCAGCTGACGGCCCAAGACCTGCAACAGGGTGATTTCTGGACACTGGCCCTGGACACCGAACCCATAGCAAAGCGGCAATCTGTATCGGCAAGGCCGAGGCCGACTTTGAGCTCAAGCACGAGGCGCTGCGTGCGGCTCTTCCGCGCATCTGAGCGGCCTCACCTTGTTTGGGGTCATTCGGATAGGAAATTTTTCGATAGAATTTGTAAGTAGAGTGGTTTCTGGGCCTGATGTCTTTGGATGGTGCCTTCCTGTCTGCTTTAATTACGGGCTTTATTGATAGATGCTCCTGAGATCATAGTGCCATAGCGCTGCGTGTCGCCTTCAATCCCGGCAAGACTTTAGAAACTTCTGGGCCCTAAGCCCTAAACCCATCCCGACCATTTCACCCGACCTGCAAACCCAGCGATGAAAATGCAAGGCCTTGCTAGAACTTGTCTTTGGGGTTCGGGCTTCAGTGTTTTGGGGTTAGGTTCAATAAAAGTTGAGGGTTTGTCTTCATGTATTCGGTAGAGGGTTTCGGAGTTTGGGCTTTTAGGGTTTTTCGGTTTAGAACTTGGTGTTTGCATCCTCAAAGCACCGCAGTCCGAAGCCGTCAGAGGGTTGGAGCATCTTCGGACTTCTGCCTAGCGTTTTGGCATGTGTAAGGTGGATCTGGTGAAGCCCTTTTTACGTCTAAGAAACCATGCCTTAACGGTGGAGGGGTCTTGGCTCAGATGGGGCTGAGTGCCGCAAAGCGAAGTGAAGTTAGCACGCCTCTATCTCTACAGGACCCTATGTACGGTGATAGTATCGTGCCCACCATGTTCCCAGTCATTCTAGTCAGCCCACCCATTTGGGATGTTGCAGCGGGGACAGCAGGGGGATACTGCATGGGAGCCAGCGGCCATGCGCTTCTCCTTTTTGGTTCTGAGCTTGACTCAAGGGCGTACGCCCTTGATCTCAGACGTGCAACATATGCAAGCCCTGAGCCTCGCACAATCCTTCGAAGTCCTGAACACACTCATGCCTACAGACTCAAAATCCTACAAGGCAGCTAAACAGGCAGTCCCAAATTGCTGTACCCTCTGGGTAGCTGCCGAATCACCTCGGTTTGGGACCACTCACAACCCTAAGCCCTAAACCTTACACCCTCAAGCTCTTCAGCTGAAACCCCCCGGACGTAAAGCAGAATCTCCTGGCCCTGACCCGGCCATTGTTTCCACGGGGTGCTGATGTGGAAGTCTGAATCGCTGGTACTCATACCCCCTTACGTTCCCATGTAAACATCCTAGTTTTCTGAGATGCCGCGGTCGCGGTCACCAGCCATCCGGGTCTCGGACTCCCTCCGAGTCCCCGACCCGGAGTGGCCATTTCACCGCCCGCCACTCCGCGAGCGCCACGCCGCTGGGCTTGCAGACCGTGGGGTTGGGATGTTTCTGTCGGCTTTGGGGCCAGGGCCGTTCTTGGGATATGAAGCTGGCACTTGGGGTTTGGCATCTGGGAGGAGCTTAGAGTTTTTTTAGCTTGAGGATTTCGAAAGCGGTACTTCAATGCAAGGTGGGTTGTGAGAGGGCACCGTTTATATGCACCAACACCCCAGGTAGGCCCTTCGTTTCTGTCCGGTTTGTGTTTATACCCGCATCATTGCGTGGATTTTCTGTTTCTCTGCCTGCATCTCGCCTTCCTCCTTCCTCCTTCCTCCTCCTCCTCCCTCCTCCTCCTCCTCCTCCTCCTCCCGCCCGCCCGCCTCCGCACACCGCACTGCCTCTGCACACCTCGCACCTGCGCACACCACCTGCGCACACCACCTCCGCACACCGCACCGCGCACCGCATCAGCGCACACCGCGCGCAAAGCGAACCTCATCTCCGCACACCTCCCCCTTGAAAATCGTCTTTCTGTCTTCTGTAGCACTGCTATGCGGAGCCGCGGTTGTACGCGTGCGCTTTTAGGCCCCCCCTTCTGAACACAGATCTAGTACTGCCATGACAGGCGGAGCACGTGAAGCGGCCATCTAAACCCTAAAACCCTGAAGGTCACAGCGATCCTTCGCCGCATCCGCCAGCCTGTGTCAACTTCTCAGACCGATGCCATGCGGAGCTGTGTTTTGACTACTCGTGTGAACGTGTTCTTCCGGTTCACGACTATTAAAATCCAAAACTCAAAAGAGCCACTCTGGAGGCGAATTTCCCAGTTAATGAAAGAGAATGAACGATCAGCCAACAAGCAATGCCTAAGTGAGATCAGGCTTCTCAAAAAGTTGTTCAATCAATCATGTAAATCGAAGCGAAATCAGCGGTTAGTCAAGAACATTGTTTTGTTTCTGAGCCCCAAGCTCCCAACCCTTAAAGTTTCGGGCACGGAACTCGGAACCGTTGAAGTTCAAGTGGGGCTTACAGCTCTGAAACCCTCGAAGCCCTCAGACCCCTGAAGCCCTCTTGTGTGTGCTGTGCAGACCGAACGCTCCCTGCTGAGGCTGCAGACTGCGGATGAGGAGTGCCAGAGGGGGCTGAATTTCCTTAACCCGAAGGCACCCACTGCTTGAGTCGGATTCAGGCTCAGAGTTTAAGTTCGGGGCCAACCTATTTCGCATGAATATTTTGGATGCCCTACATTAGCAGGGTTTCGGTTTCAGGGTTTAGGGCTCCGGGTTCAGCATTCTGGGTTCAGGATTTAGGGTTTAGGGTTTAGGTTGCAGCCTTGCGCAACAGCCTGAAAACATTCACTCCTGGTGCCAGTGGGAGGCTGCTTACGGCACACCGACGATAACCCCTAAACCCTACGGAGTACATCGAAGCGGAAGACCTGAAAGACCTAGAGTATGAAGCCTCTACAGCCCCAAACCCTCAACCCTAAACCCCCTATAACCGTATAACCGTATAACCCTAAACCCTAAACCTAAACCAGAAACAATGCATTAGGACCGCCTCGCAGATGCCCAGCGAGCGCTGCAGTGGCGGAGAAGGCTGTCATCGCCCGCGCTGTTTATGCGCAACCCATTTAGGGTTTGGGGTTTGGGGTCAAGACTTCAGGGTTCAGGGGGTGGTGGGGGGTGGTGGTAGGGAGGGTTGGTGGGGGGTGGTGGGGGGTGGGGGGGTGGGGGGGGGGGGGTGGGGGGGTGGGTTTTTGGTGTCAGACCCTCAGCAAACCGTCTCGTGGCGATCTCATGACCTGGACCAAAAGAACGAGAGTGTAAGGCTACTTTGCAGAGGTTGGGCTGAGGGTTAAGAAAAAGCTTAGAGGCTTGAAGGCTTTTAGGGTGAAAGCTGTAGGGTCGGTTTCAGGTTGAAGATGAACAGTCCTGAGCTCACCTCCTTTCGTAAGCTCTTCACGTAGACATGCAGTCGAGGCGGCAAAGCCAGCTCAAAAAAAGAAGGCAGGGGGGTCCGGGGCGGCGTGGTGCATTGTTTGGGCCGGGGCTTGAGCGCTTAAGGTTGATGGCTTGGGGGGTTCAGGTTGTGTAGGCAGTGTGTGTGTTTGTGCTATACTTGTTGTCTTGCCTTGTGAGTCTTGGCTGTTTTCTTTTTTAAATACTTCATAGGTCATAGTGAGTGCCAGACTCAGTGGGAGATTGGTGTGTGTGTGTGTGTGTGTGTGTGCGCGTGTGCACGAGCGCTCTTCTTTTTGTTGGTGTGTGTGTGTGTGCGATTCGACAGCCATGCACGGTCTAGATACCAGAAGTCAAGTTTGTCAAGGTGTACCAGCGAGGATCTGTTGCAAAAGCAGCTGCTCAGGTGCAGGCGGCCATGTCGTTGTGAACCCTAAGCCCGAAACCTATTACAACCGGGTTCAGAGTACGGGGCGCTTAGTAGTGTTCGCTTCCGTACGCCGTAAACCCTACATCCCTGAATCCTTACATCTTTAGTCCTTGAAGGCCCTAGATCCCTAGATCCCGAAATCCCTAAGGCCTAAACCCTAAACCTCGGGTCAGGATTCCGGGTTCAGGATTCAGGTTTTAGGGTTTAGGTTGCAGCCTTGCGCAACACCCTGAAGGCATTCACTTCTGGTGCCAGGGGGAGGCTGCTTACGGCACACCGGCTATCTCTCGCGCAGCAGCTTGGCGGCGTCAACCCTAAAGCATAAACCCTTAGAGCCTTAGAGCCTCCAGGCAGATTCCTATCCCACGCGACGAGTTAGGGTTTTTGGGGTGCGGGCTCTCAGGGCAGGCTTTGATTAGTTTGAGGTTTCAACGGCTTGGTGTTGAAAGGCTGTCCGGGCTTAGAGCTCGAGCTCGACACCCACCAAGCCCCAAAACAAGTTGCTGAAATGTGGAACCATTTTGGGAAGAGGTGTTGCGATCAATTGTGGGCCTCGCTCCTCCATTGGTCAGGCTGACGGCTGGTTGCCGCTGCCACGGCTGCCACTTCAGCCAAAGGCAGAGCAGACCGGAAACTGAAAGCTTTAGGGTTTGGGATTTGGGGTTTATTGTTTAGGGCTTTTGATATAGGGTTTAGGTTTATCACCCACATTGCCAGCATCTTTGACAGGTGTTGTTGCGGCAGAAGAAAGGCCGCACCATCACGAAGCCGGCTTGGGGCTCTGGAAGGTAGGTCATGGTTTTCGGGTAAAGCTGGGCAGGGATTCTACACAAGGTTGACCGATCCAGCAAAAAGGCACACCCTTCATATCCTGAACGCTACAGGGGAGGCTAGAAAACCTCAAACCCAAACACTGCGCCCGGCTCTCGTCGTCAGAGACTTGCTCAATCATCTCCACATCTACCTGATACAAATACATCTTGAGGCATATAGAACTCTAAACCCTAACCCCTAAAACCCTAAATCCCAAACCGTAAGGCTCCCGAAGACCCTGAGATATCTCCACCACCGCCTGGGCGTCACCGCGCTGAGTCAGCTGAAGGTTATTTAGGGTGGAGGGTTCAGGGTGTATGCTTTTGTCTTTGGCCCAGGTCACATAAGTCAAGGGAGGCACAAGAACACCCCGGAGAGCACCAAAGTCTTTTGGGGTCTTTGGGCTCCCCTACTGGGGGCGGGGATGTAGGGTTTAGGGTTTAGGAGTTTAGGGTCCCATGCCACTGAGCCCCTCATGTGCTCTGTCAGTGATGATGTAGTTCTCCATGTCGTGGAAGCGTGTTGCATTAGGAGCATGACAAGTGTAAGGTCGCGTCTTGCGCCAGCAGCGATCCTGCCAGCTCCAGCAGCGATCCGTGGGCTCCGTGGCTTTTTCAAGGAGGGAGGCGTATCAGGTAGTAGAGAGAGATTCCAGTTTATCCAATTAAATGCCTTTTCAATCCTTCTAAGCTCCCTTTAACTCTTCTTACTTCAATCGCGCTGGGTGGGGCCGGCGTAGCTGCTGCTATCGCTACAAACATGTTAAAAACGCGCTTCCGCACGGAGCTTGTTCACAATTTCGCGCGCGACCGACCACCCTCACATGCGCTTATTAAATTGGCGCCGATATAATGGTGCCACCGTGCCACCCCAAACCCTAAACCCCCAAACCAGAGCGTTAGAAAGGCATGGACTCCCTCCAGCCCGCCCCCCTCAACATCCAAAACTAAGCAACTCTAACTAAACAAGAAAGCGCATCTTAGTGAAGTAGGATCCGACACAATGGCACAACCAGAGCGCCAAAAAGGCATAATTCTGAGGGTGTAGGGTTCAGGCTGTTGGGATGAGGTTTAGGATTCAGGGTTTAGGTTTTGAGCGCGGCTCTGGGAGGGTTTGGGGTTGGGGTGCTCACTTGAAGGATTTGCCTTTACCAAGGTTGTGAACTGGGCTTTCAGGGATACCTAACGTCTAGTTCGCGCCAGCGGACTAGAAGGAAAGTCCTGCGGAGTTGTAATTCTAGGTAAAGAAGTTACAAGTTCGGCGGCTCTCGCAAGTTCACCTTTAATGGGCTGAATATTAGACCTAGACTGGCCGCCATCATGCTCAGGCCAGGCCGACGACTTGGATGAGAAGTGGTTCCCAAACGCGTGTGCCGTCGACCATGCCAAAAAGTTGCGTTGGGGGGGCATGCGCCGTGCAGGGATTGTGTATTTTCCGTAGCAGATTAGAAGCAAGAACTCCGAGTTGCAGTAAGTTGAAAACCGTCAAGATCGGAATGGCACTGACCTTGCTAAGGTCCTTCAGCTCAGCCCAGTCAGTCTTTAAGCAGAGGCTATGATTCTGCCATTATGCGTGCTTGTTAGCTTGAAGCTTGCCCGTTTATGGGGTCGGAACAATGGCATGTAAAGTTCTGACAAGACTACCACAGTTTCTGGAGTTCGGGCTTGCGCTTGGCACTTTGCGCTGCGGATCCAGGAATCGTGGCAAAACCTATTTCAAGCACCATTGCACTCAGAAGCATCCCAGCATCAGCTAGAGTTCAGGTCTTGAGGGGGCCGTAGCCGCTAGAGGACGCAAACGTGCAGCGCATGTTCAAGGAAACAGATGTTGCCTTCCAGTGCATGGCTGATCGACATTTTTCGCGCGTGTGTGGGAGGCGCGTGCTTTCCGGGCATGTTGTCTGCGTTTTGCAGGTCGCAGGCAGGACTCAGCTCACAGGGCTTGGGGGAATCGATGCATGCAGCATCCTTGTGATCAGCGTTCGTGTTGCTGACAGAAAGCATGCAAGTGTAGGTGCCGACCAGGGTCTTTCGCAGGACCCCAAGCAAGACCACACACAACGCTGAAACCCGAAGTCCCGATGCATCCTGAATGGTGCCTCTGCTTCCCGCTGAAGGGAGTGGGGTGGCAAGGCATCTCGACCCTAAGATCTCAACATCCCTCACTCAGGGTCAAAGGTTGGTTGCGCGGTTTGGGCTTCTGGCGATCCAGGGTTACAACTTTTTTCTACAAAGAATAGTCCGAAGCGCACCTGAAGCCATTCCTGAACTCAGGACCCCTGGGCTTTAAACCAACATCCTAGGTCAGGTATCAATTATCGCATGGTCTCGAGCCCACCCAATACAACCAGCATGAGGTGCTCCAAGATGTGCAGGTCTCTTTGCACTGCTAGCCCGATGGTTTAGCATGTACTTTAGGGGTCGGAAAACTTTCATTCTATTCCCTTGTGGTCCCCGCATAATTTCACTATAAAAACCCGCAAAACCCTACTCTGATTATTTTAGCCACCCCATTGTATAGGGTTGAAGGTGTTGAAATACTTCGGACAACTAGCTGGCTTGCGTTGAACCCCTAAACCTCACTCCCGATAAACCTTAAAACCCCGAAGCTCGAAAGTCAAACCCGCATGAGCTCGTTGAAGGGTTGAAGAGTTTCTGCAGTGCAGACTACCGCCCTAAACCCTAAACCCTAAACCCTAAACCCTAAACCCTAAACCCTAAACCCTAAACCCTAAACCCTAAACCCTAAACCCTAAACCCTAAACACTAAACCATAAACCCTAAACCCTAAACCCTAAACCCTAAACCCTAAACCCTAAACCCTAAACCCTAAACCCTAAACCCTAAACCCTAAACCCTAAACCCTAAACCCTAAACCCTAAACCCTAAACCCTAAACCCTAAACCTTAAACCCTAAACCCTAAACTCTAAACCTTAAACCCTAAACCGTATCTGGCCCTAAACCCTAAACCCTAAACCCTAAGCCCTAACCCGAAGCCCTGAACCCCTTTATTCTTTTTTTGGACCTGGTTTGTGGTTGCTACCAGAAGTTTTTGGGAAGGGGAGTTCGGTTCCTGAAAAGCCCTTTAAAAACCAGAACCGGCTGGTTCTGTACACGCTAGGCCGTTGGACGCCTTGTTCCTCTTGACGAGGTGCCAGCGGTTCCGGATAGGCTTCTGGCGCCTGGCAAGGTGGGTTTTGGATGTGTGAAATTTTGTTTTGGAAATTAAACTTGGGTCTTATTGGGTAGCTCAGTTCTGTAACCCCCAACAATGAGTCCTAAGATGTTTTCAGGGCTTAGAGTTCGGGGCTTTCCTAAAACCCCCCAAGCTGCCAGCGTTTTAGGAGGCAGTTTACGGCTTCGGGATCAGCCGCCCACGTCTGAGAGAGTGCTCTGCAAGTTAGATGCCCTTAAAAGTGTGACTGCTTTGGAGTTCATGTCTGGGGCCGCAGGGCAAAGGGTTTGTGGCTAAACCCTCAATCGCCCGAAGCCCTAAGCATCCCAGAGCTCTATCAGGCAGTCCGGCGCAAGAATTTCAAGTTGCGAGTGCCAGTCCAGTCCTAAGAAGTTCTTGAAGAAATTGCTTGTCATCGTAAACGGCCCTAAACCCTAAACCCTAAACTCTAAATCCTATTCCCTCACAAAACAGCCGGTGCATGCCGGTGCTATGAGGAACATGTTTATGACTCCAAGGGGCGCCCTGGGTTGGCGAAAGAGATGCCCTAAACCTTCAACCGTAACCCCTAAACCCTGAAAACTGAGCCCTGAACCCTGTGTCAGGGGTTTCGCATTTAGGTGTTGAAGGTCTCGGGTTAGCTTCTAGTCACTAGCTAAAGTTGCAGCCCTATGCCTGCAGTCTCCCCACAAATATCGCGCTGCGCAGGAGCAGCGCCTCGGCTGGCACTTTGTTGGAGATCCACGCCGCTTTCTCGGCAGAACGGTCTCGCTTGTTCGGAAGTCCCAAGTTGTTGGAACGAACACCCTGGGCCTTCGACAATAGACTCTGAAACTTATGCCGTACCAACCCCTTTTTTCATTATGCTGCATGCTTGACATTCTACACCTCGCATTCGTAGCAAGCAGAAGTCACAGAACGTTTTCCCGAGTGGCCCCCCCAACCGCAAGCAAGATCTCCGAAGCCCTTCAACTTCAGCTCAGGGAGCTTAGAAAGTGGGTTTAGGGTTTAGGGTTTAGGGTTTAGGGTTTAGGGTTTAGGGTCTAGGGTTTAGGGTTTAGGGTAAGAAGGGTTCCCAAGTATCCCAAGTTGGGTTGTCCTACGTAGAGCCCTACGTGTAGCCTGCCAAGTTTCATTGCCAAGAGCCTCAAGCAGGACTGGGGCCGGAAACTCTCCAGCTGAAGGCCGCCCTCAATCCTCGAGCCCCCGAATCCTCGGAGTCTGAAGTTTTGACACTAAACCCTAATCCCTAAACCCTAAACCCTAAACCCTAAACCCTAAACCCTAAACCCTAAACCCTAAACCCTAAACCCTAAACCCTAAACCCTAAACCCTAAACCCCAAACCCTAAACCCTAAACCCGAAACCCTAAACCCGAAACCCTAAACCCGAACCCGAAACCCTAAACCCCAAAGCTGAAACCCCACAAATTGCCCTGGCCCCGAACACCGAACCTATAGACAAACGGCGAAATCCTCCCCCTAATATCAATCCCCCCCTGACCCCCGAATATCAAATACCCCCTGTATACAAAAACGCTAGAATGTGAATATTTGCTATGAGGGGGTAACGGGTGTTTATCCTCAAAGCTTGCATCGAAACCTGCACTCCGCAAATGCTGTCCCAGCCGAGCGAGGCGGACTTGGAGCCCTAAACCCTAAACCCTAAACCCTCAACCCTAAACCCGTCTCAGCCCAAGGACGCGCCGCGCCGCCGAACGCGGCCGCCTCCGCGCATCTGAGCGACAGCTCGGGCTCCTCACCTTTCCTCGGGGATCGTTCGGATCCGATTAAAAGGGTTTGGGGTTTAGGGTAGAAGGTCCCGATCGAGTTTTGCAGTAGAGTGGTTTCCAGCCTTGAAAAGCTTTAGCTGGAATGCTTCCTCATCAGCTTTGCGGACTTTAGATGCTGCATCATAGCGGGCTGCGTGTTGCTCAATGCAAGACTCAGAAACTTCTAGGATTCCGCAAGCCCTAAACAGTGAACCCATCGCGACCATGTCGCCCGACCTTGCAAACCCGGCGATGAAAAGGCGAGGCCTGGCTAGAACTTGTCATTGGGGTTCG